ATCTACTCGGCTTTTGATTTTTATCAAGAATATATACACTTTATGGGGTTGGAGATGCTTTCTTCTGCCTGTTACATACATTTGCACAAAAACATTATACCCTGTTTCCCATTTTCAATGGGTATATAAAATAAATTATAATCACATTCGTATATACATTGCTAGGCACATTTATAGATTATTCTGTCTTAAGCCTTAAAAACTGTGTTACATTCGTGAAATAAGAAATAATTTCAACCGCATTGAAATACAACATCTTAAAAATGTGGAGCAGAGGAATAAACGCACAACCCTTGGCTGAGGTACGGACTCTGCTTGCGATCCGTGTAACTGTATGTGTATGTACATATATGTATGATATTCGCAGCTCGGTACGTAGTATCTGCTATTCGAGCCCTCGCGGCAATAGTACTCTTACTTGTTTCAGACTGTGGCTGTAACATTTAATTGATAAAAATGATTAAACAATATACCCGAAGGTGTTTTCGACATTGTGAAACTAATGTATCCTGAGTGCGCTTGAGGAAGTAAGATAGCTAGATCCGCAACTAGGCAAAGGGATTGTCAGCAACGACAACATGTATGTTCTGTATGTATTTGTTGTAATACCAGCGAAAGCGAAGTCGGTTGGCTGTTCGAACGAATGTAAACGGCCAGCCCTGCAGCCTTGTAGAGTGAGCACCAATCAGAATGCAGCATACACACGACTTTGGGCGGGGCCTATATGTAAGTGCAGCTACCCTGCGAGGCGTGCGACTAGTCAGTCAGGCCAGCCTCATCCATTTTGCAACAGCAATTTTCGCTTACTCACCCAGACCCAGTTGAAACTCAGCGCCGACCACACGCATGATTTCAAACTCAACGCGAGTTGAGTTATTATTAGTCTATTATGCCTGGCGCGCGGATAGTTGCAATCTAATTTTCGATCGATCGCCTATATACCCAAGGTACATCTTCCGGAATAAATTGACCACGTAGCTAGTTGTAACCAGTGATATCAACATGGATTTATAATTATCAATTGCTCAAGCAGTTAACGTTAAATACATACTTAAAATCAATATTAAAAAAAAAACCTACATACTTCAGTTAATCATAAAAGTGTATCTACAAGTCTTTCCAAGTTTGGCCCAAAAATATATGTGACAATAAATTCGTATAATGAAGTTATGTGCATTCAAGTTGAAGTGTCCTTAATGCCCTTGTACTTACGCTGATATAACATAGAAATTACAATTCAACTGCAACGGTAATAAGTGTACGTGATAAGTGTGGCTATGTTACCTGAGGACAATGAAAAGAGTCATCAAGCATACTTGAAACTAAACGTCTTACGTTAAAGGCAATTGGCAATATTTCAATAATTGACTGCAATGAAAACTATTGTACAAAATTAATTATTTACATGTGCTTAAGTTTTGGGGTAGTTGTGAGCAGTATGTAAATTGTTTGTTAATCCTCGCGAAGTGAAATTTAATGTTGTCTCGAAATTAACCAGGACGACGCGCTGGGCCGACAAATTCCTGTCCGTCTGTTTGTATGCAAACATATGTCGGAGGCGAGGCTTGAAAGACATTATAAAAAACGGTTTTTTGTTTTGCAGATATATTAAATTTAATTTACTTATTTTAATAATGCTATATACATCATTTAGTTTTCAACAAAAATGGAAATTAAAAAGTTCTATATCCTTGAAGAGAGTATTATAATTTTAGCATGAAAATTTGTAACGCCTAGACGCAGACATCTACGACATCTAGGTCTTTCTGTGGCACGCTGGATCGGACCAGTATTTCATATAGATACCATAACGATAGGTCGAAAAATAGGTTCTTGTATGAATAACTTTTTTGTTGTACCAAGAACTTCACTCGAAATTTATTAGCTTAACTATGCAAGATCCTATCTATATCGAACCACTATATCATAAAGCTACCATAGGAGCGATCTATCGAAAATGAGTTTCTTGTATGAAAGCTTTTTTGTTTATCAAGATATCTTGACCAACCCCGGCATTAACTATTTAAACTATTTTATTTTTTTTTTTTTGATGGCATGAGAAACAACTATTTTATTTAAAATCTGTCTTACTTTGACAATTATTTAATTTTTTCATGGGTACTTAGCAGGGTATGTTTCCTTTTTAGTGATTTCTAATTGTAAATAATGTGTGGTGGGTGGGGTTATAATTAGATTAAGTGATCTGGTCCATTGGAAGATCCAGCGGGTGCACGCTCTTGAGTCTTCTGGTGGTGTTGCTGTTGTCCAGCAGGCCAACTGCTAGGTTGTTGTTGTGAAGCCGGAGCCTATGCAGGTATCTTCTAATGCTTTTGGCGATCTCCTCACTAACCCATGGGATCTTTAGAAGTCCTCTTTAGAGGTTGGCAGTACCCCATAGCTGAATGCCGTATGTCCAAATCGGTTTAGTAATTGCCTTGTAGACAATGTGCTTTGACCGAGTAATTAACTTGGACTTGCGGCCAATAAGCCAGTAATAGAACTTCAGCTTATCCTCCGCTTGTTTCCTTTTCTTTAAAAGGTCAGTTCTCCATGTTAACCTCCTCTCGAGAGTCATGCCAAGGTATATTGGTGTCGTCTCTACTGGTATTACAGCTCCGCCTAGGTAGACAGGAGGCCAGTTATCAGGCCTGAGAGAGAAAGTGGTGGCTGTGGATATTTAAACTATGCTGCTTGTATATTTGCCTACTATTATCACACTACTATATTAAAAAAATTAAAAAATTCGGTTTTCACATATCTGGAAAACCGTAACACAAATGTCTACGTGGGTAATAAATCTTCGGCGTGCCGAAGCTATCTTTACTTTCTCGTTTTTGCACAAGTTTTATATTTTCTTGCTGATTTTATATTTGATCTAAATTGTGCTACATTAACAAAAGTGGGGTTTTCGATTAAAGAATAATATGTCAATATATAAGAATAAAAAGTATACCTTTTCAAGATTAAATAATTTTTTATTTCCATGGCAACAAAGGTTAGTCAGTTTGAGAAACAGAATGTTTTGGTTCTGATATAAATTGTGGATTGTATTTTAATCGAATTCTTATTGATTGTATCGCTAAGGTGTGCCGCATTAAACAATTATTTTATATTCCTGTGTTAAAGTTTTGTCGGAAAGTCAGATTAGCATATAATCCATATAAGTAAAATCACTTGCATGCAGAGTTTTCGTATGAAAAACATTAAAACTGAATGTAGAGACTATCCGCATCCGACAATGTGATAAAATGTGATAGATATTTGTTCAAATTCATTTGAGGCGTGTTTCTTTTTATGGATGGCATTGCGGGTTAAAGGCTTTATGAACGAACGTTTTTTTTTCGGCTTCAAGATTCTCTTAAAACTTTTGGTTCTTCAACGATAGACTTAAAATTTATTGGAGTTCAAGCTATATTTAAATTTGTCAGGGGTGAGAAATGTTGAGATATATTACCTTTGAAGCGTAGAAGTTTCCATTGGCAAGGCCGGAACATATCCGCTTGTAAATTATAAAGGGTCATTAATAAACCTGTATGTTTGAAATATTTGTAAGAGACAATCGGTAGGTATACTTTTTAAAAGCAGTCTTTTTATACTCTGAACCCATTAAAAGTGGGTAAACAGGGTATAATGTATTTGTGGAAATGGAAGAAGGAAGCATCTCCGACCCCGTAAAGTATATATATTCTTGATCAGCATCAATAGCCGAGTCGATCTAGCCATGTCCGTCCGTCCGTATGTATGAACGCAAGGATCTCAGAACCTACAAGAGCTAGAGACTTGAAATTTTAGCAGTAGGTCATCCTAGTACCCGCGCAGATCGAATTTGTTTCCGATATTCGATAACCTGTCCCGCTTTCAAGTAATCGATAAAAATCGATATCGAAATCCTGTTTTTTGAGCAAATTGGGTAAATAATAAGAGCAAGAGTCACCAAACTTGATTGGTTAGATGGTTGGATGTAGCTCGAGCTGCATTTGGTGTTGAAGTAAGAGAGTTCAGGGTATCCCCTAGTCGGGAGCTCCCGACTAGAACCTCTTACTTGTTTTTTTTTTGTTTATTCCATCGTATTCGAGTTTTTTTTTCAAGAACTGCCTATAAAGGAGGCAATGATTAAATTTTATAATATTACATTAACAGAGGGATATTTCGTTTTTTATATTAAGAGATACAATTTGTTTGGGTTGGATGGGATGAGTAGGTAGGCAGGGTACGGGTTTTGGGGATTGGTGTGTTATGTTTCTTCATCCCTGGTGAGGTCAAGCAAGTGCTATTTCCTCTTAAGCCCAGGGAATGTGGAGCTGCCTGTGGATACCGGCGTTGTCGTGATAAACTCGATAAACCGATTGAGATAGAAAAGCAGTCTGGATGACCTAAGAAAGTACTTGTCTGATTCTGGAAAATGTTTCGTGGCATGTTATGAAAAAGACAATAAATATTCGCCTGTTATCAACGCTGGTGATGCTCTACGAGCGATTAGCATAAAAAAAAAAAGAAAACAATTAGCGCACCTCTGTGCATTCATATTGTTATGCTGGATCTAGAGGTATACATACAATACATAGAGGTATACATACGTACATATACATATACGTACATATGAGAATTCATAAATATTCGTTTGGACATGCTTACGAACTACTTAAAACGGACGGCCGCATACAGTATACTCTCGAGATTTGAAGTGTGTTTTTATTATATCAAGCGTGAAAACGAGAAACACGGCCATCACTTTGCAAGTGACATCAAGTGGAGCTCTCATTAACATAAATACCGAAGATCAATATACAGCAGATCGTTGGTCCGTCGACCCTTTTGACCCCACATGAAGTTCCGCCCTAAGTCGAGCAGAACTTATCCGAACCGGCGCCGAGTAAATGAAGCTAGTATTAATATAAAATGTTTAGAGATTCTGCTAAATAGGCAGTTAAACAGATTATTTCCAATAAATAAGTTAACTTAAGTATGTATAAAATATATTTGAAATATTTTCTTTTCAGTTTGCAATTAAAAGAATTTGGAATGGGTCGAGCACAAAGAGAAGTCGATGAGGCTTGCGTGATAATTATATATATTGTAAATGTTGCCTAATTGAACAAAAAGAAGAAGAAGAAGTAGAAGAAGGACAACAAAACTAAATCCGATGGCAAACACAGACTTAACCCAATCGCGGTCTTCCTCGCCCAGTCAGCAACAGGATCAAACACCTGCAGGCGCTCGCGCTCCAAGTCTAAAGCCGCATTTTGTGACTAGCATCTATCCCCTTGGCGGAACCCCTGGCAGTACCGGCTGTGGGTCCACTACCACTACTACAGTGCCGCGGCAGACGACGCATCCCCAGGTGACCACCATGGCATTGGAACAGTATCGCTTGCAGTTGTACAACTATGCACTTAACATTGAGCGTCTAAGGTGTCCACAATACGCGCCAGCTGCGGGATCCGCCGTTGGCTCGACGGCATTGCCCACTTGGCTACATCCATACAGCTCTCACTGTGCAGGAGCTGGAAATCGTCTGGCAACGCTTTCAACGATCTCGCTATTCCCTCAGTCTCAGCGCATTTTTCAGCCGGAGGAGCCAAAGCCACAGCACAGCTATATTGGACTTATTGCAATGGCCATTCTGAGCTCCTCTGAAATGAAACTAGTGCTTTCAGATATTTATCAATATATTTTGGATAACTACCCGTACTTTCGGACGCGTGGGCCCGGCTGGAGAAACTCGATTAGGCATAATCTATCCCTAAACGACTGCTTTATCAAATCTGGACGTAGTGCGAATGGCAAGGGCCATTACTGGGCTATTCATCCCGCCAACATGGATGACTTTCGCAAAGGTGACTTTCGGCGACGGAAAGCCCAGCGCAAGGTGCGCAGGCACATGGGGCTCTCCGTTGATGACGCCAGCACAGATTCACCGAGCCCGCCTCCATTAGACTTAACCACTCCACCACCTCCCGCCACGCAGGCATCAATGCAGCTTGCTGCCCTGAACTATCCCTACCATCAGCATTACATTGGTCAGTTCTTTGGTCGCAGTGTCGTTGGTGCTTCCACTCCACCCTGCAATCTGCCCCAGTACACGGCTGCAGCCACAGCTCTCCAGCGGCAGCAGATCCACATTCAGCACCAGCAGCAGCAGCAGCAGCCAGAGCCAAGATTGGATCCAAGCTATCAGTTATCACAGCACCCGCATCAGCATCTGCACCAGCATCTGCCCCAATCCCAGCATCAGCATCAGCATCAACATCAGCATATAGCCTACATAAACTCTACAACGACAACCACAATTGCGAATCTGTATTCGCAGACGCGAAAACGTCAGTTTGATGTCGCCTCGCTGCTTGCACCGGATGTGCAGATTGTCGACATTGTTGAAGATGAGGACTCATCGACCCAGACCCAGCATACGGTTATCACTAAGGTCCAAGTAAAAAAGCAGCAAATGATCCATCGCGAATTGGTTGTTGAGCGAAAAAGTCCCAGCACTAACCCAAATACAGTTGATGGCGATGTGGATGCAGATATTGATGTTGACGGTGATGGTGATGGTGATGGTGATGCTGATGGAGACGTAAATGACCGTATGTTGCAAGGCCAGGATCCAGGGCAACACCAGCAGCAGCAGCACATGAGCCATCCATTAAGAAGCCAAGTCATTCAGCATATGCTCTCGCCTGATGACAATAATTCGTACCTTAGTGATGCCAGGCAATCTATATTCGATGCGGACATTGAGGAGCAAGAGCCCCACAATTTCTCAGTTTCTGTTTCTGTTTCACCGCCCTTGGACAGCTCGGCGGCGAGCAGTAGCCAACAGGACTCGAATTCTTTAGAAGAATGCCCCCTAGCCGAGGCTTCGGCTCCAGGACCATTGAGCGTATCGAGCGTATCGGCCACACCAGCAGCACACACATCGCCGCTGGCAATGACAATGTCGCTGCCAAATGCCTACGTGGAGCTTAACGGCGTCGATCCCCAGCTCCTGAGCAAATACTACGGCACATATATGGCAGCAGCGGCTCGTCGAGCTAGTCTGGAAGCCGCCCAATCCAGAGCCCAATCGAAAACTATGACCACTCCCCCGCCTATAGAACTGTTACCTAATAAATCTTAATCCAAGTACCGTCTGCGTCAAGCCATAATATTCGACACTGGAATACACACATAAGTAGACACTGATCCCACCCGGTAATTCAATGAATGATGTACTATATGTTACTCGCAGTCCAGTTAAAGAGGACTCGAAAAAAAATTAAAATGTTAGCTCTCATAAGTGCAGAATACATGTAAAAAAAAAGTTTTTAAATAATGTTATGGTAGATCCATATTCAGCATATGTACATATGTATCCTCTACATATATTATATTTCCGTTTAAAGGGGGCTCACTTATCTAGTTAAAGATAGTTAATTCCCATATACTGATGTCATCCCTTATAACACACGTAAATCATAAATAAAATCCACATCCTAACCTTTTTATGTCGAAAACTCGTTTCTTTATATTACCTGAAGAACTCGTACATAGGCAAGTATCTCCATAGTCAAGCCCTATTTCGATCTTCTTGTAAGCCAATTATGAGAACGATAAGCTAGATTTTAAATCCGTTATATAGTCATTAAATCATATCTTAAAATTTATTTTTATTTTTATATATATACTCTTTCCTGGCATTAACAAAATAACTAAGTCCATCTATAAAATAACGGAAATGGTAGCACACCTGTAGGGAGTAGGGTTAACCCGACTGTTAAAATAATATTAAATATATTTAACTTATTTAAAACATACAAATAAACCAGATTGCAATAACTGGCTTTGTTCTGGATTGTTGCTTGGTAAAATAAAATGTATAAATGCATATACCCCACCCCATTACCATAAGGTATACATATTCTTGGTCATATCCCAAGTCATCGATAACAATCGATATCAAAATCGATATCAGCATGCACTACGAGCTGCTTCTAGTTTAGGTTGAAGCATTTAGTCGAGCATTTCCGACTAGTGCTTTCTTGTTGGTCATCTATCAGTTCCTATCAATACATCTCTGCCAGTAAAATAATTGAAGAGCATTTTATAAACAGTCGCTACAGACATTGAAAAGCCCAAAAAGCAGTGTGTTTGTACGTCGACGTATGTAGATCCGATGTTAGCCTACCGCAAACATATGTTAACATAGCTACTCAACTGGTTTGTTTACAGGAGGAAGCGACATATCGTCTACGTTGTATGCTTTTTCCGATACAACTTGTTTTTTCAACTTTCTTTTACGAGTTTAATAACTTGAGTTTACGAAATCGGCAAAATAATTGTAAATAATTGTAATATAATTCTTTCTTTCCTGAATAATCGACTATTTATTATCCGATAGCAGGTATTCGAAATTCACAATGCTATGTTAACACATCTGGCAAGACTGTTGTAACATTACCAATTGAGTACAGCCCTTAGCGTTATCATTTCGTTTGACTGAGTTTACAGAAGTTGATTGCGTTGTTAATTCCATCATCCACACGCAGCGCATGTTCACGAAAAAGTATATTTATTTTGTAAACGCTTGTTTATTTTCGCCCAGTATGTAACTTAGTAGTATTTAGTATTTTCTGCGTTGCACCGTTTATAAAGGATACTACGTCGTTTGTATTTTTTCAGAACTAAGCAAGGCTTTGCACCTTATCGAATTTGGCAGTACAAATTGCCGAACTCAACGATAAACTATCAAATATCTCCGGCAAACTCATTCTGTAAACACATAAAGACCTCTTACGAAATTCGAATCTTTCTTTTTTCTGTAAATAAAAAAAATTGTAGGTAAGTCAAATGATTCTAATTATATAAATATATTTTTATGTACAGTCATTCAGTCTTAAATTAAAACAATAAATATAAATAAAATTATGGTTATTTTTCTACCACCTTATCAAAGTTCCGCACCGTGTGTAGAAATTTTAAATGTTTCGATGTGCGGCTTGCCCGAAAGTTGTGATTCCCGAAACAAACTCCTAATTCGTTACTCGTAATAATAAGCAAGGTTTTGCACCTTATCGAATTTGGCAGTACTAATTATCGAACTGAACGGCAAACTATCAAATATCTCCACCAAACCCATTTTGAAAACACATAAGTTGCGATTCCCGAATAAAAATAACTCCTAATTCGTTATTCGCAATGAGGGCTTGTGAAAACAATGCGAATGTATCATTGCTGAAAGATGGCGCCTTTCGATTGTAAACATGGCTCCCGACAATCAAATAAATTTTTTTTAATATTATTTAAAATTAACGGCTATTTACCGTAATTATCAAAAAAATATATAAAATAAAATTTAAAATTTAATTTAGACAAAATTGGGGCAAGTGAGTTTTTATGATAGGTGGCGCTTTTTAGTTTTCATGATAAACAAGGGATGGCGCTTGTAATAAAAAAATATGACGTATAATATTTAAAAAATTTTAAAAATATCTAACATCGCAAAAGAAAAATCACAAAAAAAAAATAATATATATATATAATAAAATAATTATAATTAAAATTTAAATATAATTAGTATATATATATTATATATATATATAATAATAGTTCATAATGGAAATAAACTGCCCCCCGATTCATTTGGACATTCCTTATGTGGGAAAAATAAAACAAAAAATTACCGATATTTATAGATATCATCTAAAAATTGCGTTCCATTCATGTTCATGGGATTTTTGAAAGTTCAGAAGAAGCTAGGCAGTTAGAAACTAGAAACAGAGATAAAGAAGAAGACGAAGTGTTGCACTTTTGACAAAGTTGAAAACGTTGTACTTTATTATTATATGGAATCAAGATTTTTTGAAGGTTAGTTTTATTACATGTATACCATGTATACCAGCAAGTATTACCCGGCCTTGCCCTTGGCAAGTTTTGTAGGTGAGATTTTACTTACCCGATTCCGGTATGAATGGAAGGGCTTTGAATGTAAGACTTCGTCCTTATATCATTTCATCCGCATTCATCATCTTAGAGAGCAGATTTTGCGAAAAGTGTGGAACAACTCTCAAATGAATCTCAGAAAATGAATTTCGGGGCGATCGGATAGTAGACAAAAGTTTTTCGCGATTTTTCAACACTTGCTACACAGCTTCCTATCTCTTTCGGCTGCGCGTTGATTAAAAATTAATCTGTCAGCCATGCCTTAGAACATAACTGCATGATCAAACATGTTCAACATATAAATCGTACCATGAGACGGACAGTCCCGCCCAAACCCAATCGTTCTTATTTGTATTTCTTTTTAAAGAAAAAAGAAAATTATTGAAATAATTTAAGTTAAACTATTTTCTGGACTACAATTGAGCTCAGAATATACCACAAGATTAGAATTTTTTGAATATGCACATAATAAGAATAAAGATTTATTCCAGTGTAGACTTATTTAAGGATAAATATGGCATGTTCGGCCCTTACAGGGTCAAAAACCAGTTTTAAGAGTCATGCGTGCTATATATGACAGGGCACTCACTGGGCGGGGCCGAATTCGATAAACCAGCGATTGGTTGTCAATGAGCAGTGAGCAGCTATCATTGGTTACTTGCGTCACTTTGCTCAGCAGCTTCTCTCCGCTGCATATGTGACTATGGAAGGCTCTCTTTAGTCCAAAGAGGCAAATGCTAAAGAGATGTTTGCACAAAAAGAAAACGTGCTGATGCTGGTGAGCCGAATCTGAGTGTGAATAGAAAATACGAATGCGAAACCGAAACCGAAGCAAAAGCCGAATGAAGATGAATCTCTTAAATTAGTCGTGGAGCCGAAGAGCATCCCTCTTACAGTCTCATCATACTGCAGTCCGTTGGAGCGGCCGAAGGTGGAATTGGAATCCAATTGAAATCAGTGACAATTGAACATTGCCACGCAGTGGTGGTGGTGGTGGAGGTTATGTTGTCGTGTCGCCGTTACAATTGTTGTCGTTGTCGTTGTCGTTGCCGTTGCCGTTTCTGCTGCTCTTGCAGTTGTCGGTAGACCGTTTTCCCGCTAGTCCGTTTCACGTTTCACGCGTGCATCGAACTCAACATCTCAACAATCGAACTTAAAACTCGCCAAGTTAAATGCGCAAAAGTAAGCTTTTATCCGTTGCCCGCAATCACCGTAATTATAACCCAATTGGGCTGTAAACTATATTTTAAAGCGTGAATTAGCCAGAAGGATGTCGTGTCGGTGGACTTAAATGTCCCTGTGCGAGTGTGTGTGTGTGTGTGTATTTAGAACCGATCGAGTATTGCCGTCTGAAGCTGAGAGAGAGAGCAAGAGAGAGAGGCACACGCTAGTGACATCGAGTATGCCTATATTCTCACTCGAATAGTCGGTCCACAAAACTAAATTTGAACTGGCAATGAAAGGTCAAACACTTATCACAACAAACTAAAATGTTTTTTTGTGTTTACGGCGACTACTGGCAGAGAGAAGGAAAATCGACAGCAATTTGACGTTGATGTCAAATATGACTTGACAATGCCGGAGATCGATTAGAAAAACTTTTCAAACCTTTGGATCGCTTTAAGCGCCTCCCAGCACAACTACCCCGGTAGTACTATGCACATATAAACGTTACATCTGTATTCTACCGACAGGTGCGGGTAAAAGTGAAATGTGACCCAAGCGACTGAATGAACATTTATTAAAGTGCCATATACATATTTAGAGATTTAAAATATAATAAGTGGACCTAGTCAACATCAAATTAAAAGAAAAAGGAATAGTAAAATAACGATTATATGGAATAAATATTCAGATCAAGCTGCAAAAGCAAAGGTAAGTTGTAAATGAGTACTCAATTGGGTTTTCCGCTTTATTAATTTGTACGAAAAACATTTACTAAAGAATTGGCAAACATCTGCAATAGTATCACAGAATCTAGAATCTCTTGGTAATGCAAGATGGCCAAATTTAAGCGAAGAAATTATTTGAGGTTTAAGGCGTTCTTATACACATGGTAGGATATTGGCTTTGTCCGTTAGTGGGTTAAGATTGCCAAAGTGAAAATAGCGAAAATGATGATCACTCTTCCACTATGTTCAAATCCCAAAGATAATAATCAATAAATCTCTTTGCCATATGGAACCAATTATTGTACAGTCGGCAATTGCGGCTGTAACGCATTTATTTCTAGAGTATTATGCATGTGCATGTGCATGGGTGTACGCTGCACATGTGTGTGAACTTGAATTAAATTTTCCTATAACATATATACAAACTTTGGGATTGCAATTCAAAAATTTGAGCCCGGGACCAGTTTTCTACGGCACTCGGCACTCTCCACTGGCCACTGGCTGCGCACAAGCACTGAATGCGACAGGTGCATTTGCCACGCAGACAGCAGACTTTGCATGGGAAAAGCGCTAGTGAAGTTCAGCTCGGTTCAGCTCCTAACTCAGATCATACTCTCGATGGGAAGACTCTGACTGGTTTTCTGTAATTGCAAACGCGCCCGATTGCCGAGTGTCTGCCGCCGCTGCTGCCGCTGCCGCTGATGCTGCTGCTGGGGCCCTGAGTTACCGAGCCGAGACAGCATGAAGACAAGACTCGACTCGACTCGACTCGTAAGTAACTACTTACATATACATAACTGTAACCGGGGCAGCATGCGCTTACCTTTGTTTTGTTTGAATTGGGTTCGTGTTTTGATTTATGTCTTTGTTGTCGTTTATGTTGTGTGCAGTTAGTTTGACCGGTTCGGTGATCGAATCCTTTATTATTATAGCCAAGTTACAATCAAATCACTCTTCCTTGTTTAGATTGGCTCGATCATGCAAAGCATTAAATCCAGCTCCTTGCAAGGATACTTAATAAAGTAGTCGACTCAAATTTTGAATCTAGAGCTGTAATATTTAAAAAAAACGTGCTCTCCTACACAATTTTATCTCTAAAATTTGCCAACACTTGTTGGTTATTCAATACAGGGTATCTCACTATGGCATTCTTTCGACTAACGTGCTCGTACTTGGCTTCATTTGATTCTCAGGATCCCTAATGATATTACTCTATACATCTGTCAGGGCCTTGCATTTGTTGCTATTTGTTGTTTAGCCTGTTGGTCGGACCCCAAGTCGATTGTTTGCGATTGTTCGAGAGTGTCATCTAGAAACGCCATAAATTGCAGGACTGCCAACATGTGTACGGACTTGTACTCGGTTGTAATAAGGGCCACGGTCACATCAAAGAGACAATCAAGGCAAAACAATGAAGCAAATGCATATTCTCAAACAGAAATACTCGATGAACCACCGCCGTCCGTCCGCATGAGGCGGGGTCGGGGTAAAGCCGCAAGAGTGCGATGTCTTGAAGAATTTTCTTCCATCTACTTAGAAGTAGAAGACAGACGTAAGCTCGGGCTCTACACCCATATACTAAATGTTCTAGTAAGGAGCTCCCATGACGGCAAGGCGGCATTGGCAAAGACGCGTCTATAAAACAATGACAGACTGCGACAGCGACAGTAACAAAATGAAAATAGATACATATGTACATATGTACTTACATTATAGTTTCTGTACATATATATATAAATATATATATATATATATATATATGTGTGTGTGTGTGCGTACGCTTATAGTAAAAGCCAGTAGTCGAGTTGAAGTACAGAATCTGGAGGCGGCTTGGCAAGTGTCCGAAAAGCGGCCGACAATTTCAACAGTAAACCAAGAAAGAGTGCTCTAGTTGGGAGTGACCGAGCAGCAGATACCCTGGAATTATCTTTACAAGCATTCGAACCTTCTCTTGTCTGTGAATATGCACAAATATGTACACACACGCGAGCACGCACTCCTTTAACTGCTCGGCTGTGCTTCTTCTTTCTCGAGCCATACACACTGCAGTCTGGAAAATATATAAATATTACCCAAAATTATGTGTTTACAATTGACTGTCCACACTGTGTTTCGTCTGATAGTCATCGAATTATGCTTTAAAAAGCTTTCTCAATATCAATATTTAACGATATTATGAAAATGGAAGGATATGAAAAAATATATTAAATTATACTGCGTTGATAAAGCTAAATATATGCTTCAAACGCTTTCACACAGGCTATATCGACTCATATCGACTCAGGCTATATCATATATTTGCGAATCAACCTTTAACCAATTTTCAAAGGGATCAGGGTATAACAAAATAACTTAAAAAAGAAGATAGTGTTAACTGATCAGAGTGATGTCAGAATAATTATCAAAATTAGAAAACAATCAATCAAGCATTTAGGTCCTGGCAAGGTAAAATAATCTGTGCCCTAGGTAACCTTATTTGTTGAGGCCTTCTATGTCTATCCAAAAGGTAGTCCTAGCCAATTTATGCAGCCCGCTGCATGTACCAGTATCTTTTTTAATCTACACACTCACACACTCACACCTTCGCACGCATGCTCATTAAGCTAAACAGAACTGAGCAAGCCATTAAGGGGGAGGGTGAGGCGGGCAACAACGACAGGTTTTTATCCAGTTCTGAGGAGCTGGTTAAACTGGACATTTGCTACTATGAAAGCAAATAAAACAAAATGAGAATAGCGTTTTCTTTGCAAATGAACATAGTTGTTATTCCACAGATTTAAGGCAACGGATTCGAATTCGATCAGTGAACGCCAGCCGAGCCGAATAACGAATAACAAATAACGAATACCGAGTACTCCCAACCGGAGAATCTTCTGCGTAATTGGTTAATTGCATTGTTAATTAACAAAGCACATTCAAATAGCGATGCGCTCGTCATTGAGAAATATCCAGGGGCCATTTAAAATGGATAAAATGGTTTTCTGGACATGTACTATGTTACAGTCAAGAGGACACATATCGGACTCTATTATTTATCTTTTAGGTCAGTTCGGGTCGATGAGTTCGATTCGCAGATAATGTTTACTTCAAATTATCGCGAACTCCTCCCGTTGTCTAAATAACAATTTTTATTTATTATTTTTTTCAAAAGTGACTTTTTAACATTCCTCTGAAATAAATGATTACTTAGATCAAGAATTTTATACTTTTGTATACCATCTTCCGAAAATGTATACCACATTTTAATCTATATAATTTGCGTAATTTTCCAGAGTGTAGGGACTTAGAAGCTAAGCTGTTGCGTAAAGTGTGCTGCTTGCGGGGTATCTCCTAGCTGAGAGAGTACTTATTCATTCAGTTGTATGAACAGCTGAATCTTTGGGAGTGTAAAAAGTCAAATGTAGTTTTCTAATTAAAAGAAACCAGCAGATTTTGCAGGGCCAACTTTCTTAAAATGTATGCTATTAGTTTTCCATTCATTTTCTGACCAAAGAAAACTTAAAATTGATCCTTACTTTATTAAGAAGTGGAATAACAAATAGTGTGCACAGTCAATCGGATAAAAAACAAATAGTTGCAATGAACAGGTTTCCGAGAAAAATAAGTTTAAATCTGATCGGACGAATCACCATTTTCCACCCAGATGAGTAGATCCTTACATCGCTCAAATACATTTTCCCAAAGATTTTGTTAAGCAGCAAAATTGAAGTATCCAAACAACATTTTCTACTCATTGTCAATAGTTACGAATGAAATTTTCCGTAGCCCCGTAATAGTGTGTCCGGCTGTTCGTTGATCTATTAGTCGGCTATATATTTGTAGCTATATAATTCAATAAGTGTACGATATTCTGTGGGAACTGTGCTTTCAAAGCGTTGCCTCCTGAATCTTTTACGCAAGGCTATAACTGAAATAATATGTGTTTTATATGATTCAACTTTTACAGTTCCAAAGTGTCATACAAATATCGGATATATACCTGTTTTTCATTATCTAATCGCAAGCCATTTGAATCATTCCCCTTCCATTGCTTAATGTCAGCGCCAACACACTCACACACTCACACACGCACTTACGCAGAAAAGCCAAGAAAAGCAAGTGTTTATTCAAAATTGTTGAAAAGTCGGCCTGAAGTCGGGCTGAAGCCTGGAACCTGCATTTTGTTACGCATAAAAATCGAATGTGCCTGTGCGTGCATGTGCATGTGTGTGTGTGTTTGTGAGTGTGTGTGTGTGTGAGTGTGCATATGCGTGTGTGTTGTATTTGTATTTGGGCTCAAAAGCTTGCGTGTACTAGTCTATTGAGAAAATGCTGCGAAAACGTGTTTTGAAGTAGATAGATAAAGCCGAATCTGAATCGCGGCGCCGACCCTCCGGTAGAAGAGACGATCGCAGTGCCTGAGACTCCGCTGTAGAGTCGCCCGAGATCGGTTCGGAGAGGGAGACGAAAACTTCGGAATGCGAATGCGCGCGATGCGAAACATGGAAAACTAGTTGTGGTGTCGCGTTGTTGTTGTTGTTTTTGTTGATGTTGCTGCTACGGCCGGTGTTGTTGTTGTTGTTACTCTTGTGATTGTTGTACCCGTTTCTGGCGTCGCCGTCGTCGCAAAAATAAACACACTCAAAATAACAACAGGTGAATGCGAATGTGAATACAAACGCAAACGAACGCGAATACAAGAAATCAAATTTCTCGTACAACATTGTTGTTTCCTGTTTCTTTTGGCCAAGGCATGACCAAAACCTGGAGCTGCAGTTGAATCTGGCGGCCCAGTGCAACTGGGGAGGGTGCGTGTGCTTATCATTTGTGAGACATACCGCGCATTCGAGCCACTAAGTCGATCTCTTCGATCTTAGCATGTCTGTCTGTCTGTCCGTCTGCCTGTCCGTCTGTCTGTCCGTCTGTCTGTCTGTTTCTCTGTCTGCCTGTTCTGGATGGTTGGCTGGTTAGATGGCAACGCACTGGAGTGTGCTCCATTCCTAC